CAAATTGAAAAAAAAAAAAAAAAAAAAAAAAAAAGGCCACCACATCACCACCAATCGCTATAGTAGGTCGGGACTAGATGCATTCCTTTTTCCCAGACGGGTTGTCAAGCCTTTTTTTTAGTCTTTTCTGGGGCACCACTCAGGGTAGGCAGGGTTCTTTGCAAGGGGGCAAAGGGGCAAAGACTCACTCACCCGCTGCAGCATGGCCAGAAGACGTCTGGGTGCTCTTCTACGGCACACAGACGGAATCCAAGATTGCCAGCACGGCGTTGAGTTCGGAGGAGTCGATGTCCTCGGGGCCGTGGTCGCGGCGGTCGGTCAAGGCGGCGGTGTGCATCCACACGCTGCCCTTTTCGTGGGCGCCGAGGCGCTCGGCCACGGGCTGGATGTTGGAGGCGCGCAGGCCGCCGCCGACGACGACCTGTATGCGGCCGGCTTGCCTGCGGCACTCGTTGTCGAGGCGGTCCATGTTGTGGGTGCAGGGGCCGCGGCCGCCGGCGGTGAGGAGGCCTTCGAAGCCCAGGCCGACGAGGGTCTCGAGGGCGTCGCCGATGCGCCTGGTGGCGGCGATGGGATCAAAGGCCCGGTGGAAGACGCAGCCAAAGGGCCTGGCGGCGTCGAGGAGCGTCCGGCAGGCCGCCTCGTCGATCTGGACGGCGTCCGTCGAGTCGGCGGGCTGCAGGGCGCCGAAGACGAAGCCGTCGCCTTGGAACGGGTTGAGGAGGCCGCTGGCTTTGAAGCTGCGGATCGACTGGGCCATGGAGGCGACCTCGTCGGGCGTGTAGATGAAGTCCTTGGATCCATCAACGGGCGGCCCGCGCGGCCGGATCATGATGCGGACCGGGATGCTCATGTCTGCTGCTACCTTGGCGAGCTCGGACAGGGGAGGCGTCGTTCCGCCGACGTGGTACGAGCCGGGGGCGTTGAGCTCGACTCGGGAGGCGCCTTGGCTTTGGGCCTTGAGGGCCGACTCGCCGGAGAAGACGGCTACCTCGAGCGGCATCTGGGTAGTCCGGGGCGTCATGATGCTTGCGTGTTGGTGTTGGACGAGAAGGCGAGGGTGTGGAGGGGAGGGATCTTGTGTAAACGACGATGAAATGGGCTTCATTCTCTGGCCATGCGGCGTCGAGATGACGAGGTCAACGAGGATGAAAGGGTCACGGCCCATGGGCGGGAGATGGGCTGCTCAAGGGCGAATAAGCTGGCTCTGTTGGTCAACCCATCGGGGTCAGAGTCCCAGGTTGCAGATGTCAAGGCAAAAGGGAGACGTATAAAGGGGCCTCTCAAAGGTCAAGGCCGTGGTGAATATCTCTGGCCATGTTTGCATTCGGAAACTGTCAGCGCCGGCGGATCTCGAAGTCGGACGAGGTTTAGGAGCTTCCCCAGCTTGCCCAGCTTCCAGGGGCTCTCGAAATCGTCTTCCAGTGGTTTCGGGTGGGGCGACTGTCTGCTCGTCTTGACTGTTCAATAGGCCTTGGCACGGCCATGTGAGGCCACTTTACGTGTAAAGTGCTTTAATGTGAGCACGAGGTGAGCAGAGTTGTTTTTCATTAAAGTTTAGTCATGGAGCTCGAGCAGCATGAACGCGCAGACTCTTAGTTTCAAGTATAGGTGAAACATGGAGCTACTAACCAGTGCAGAAGTCGTGCATGGCAAAGGGGGTGAGAACGTGGTCTGCAAAGCGAGTCTTTACTTGAATTCCGATTTCGGTTTCGACTTCGATTCCGGGGTCCGTCCAATGTTGAGGTTTGGCCGAGCTGCAGGGCAACGACGGGCAGCTCGAAGCCGGCGAGGAGTAAACTAGCGGCACCGGCCGAAGACACTGATTTCGGCCGCCTAGTTCACAAAGTTAATCATCATCTTTATTGCAACTTCTGTCCGAGAGACGACGGAGATTTGTCCACAAGCACCGAGTGCATCAAATGATAATGCAATACAGACAAAGTTGCCGACCCCGCCAAAGACAAAGACGTGCGTCTCTGGGAAGTCGCGCCCCGGAACATGGCAGAGATCAGGAAGGCGCAGGCCGGTGGGAGAGGAGCTGCAGACTCAGTCTGGGCCCGTCTGGCCAACTTGGCCGCCTTCAAATGGTCTCTCCTCTTTTCCCGTCTCTCCAAGTGGTCGTCCCGGGTTCTGGCAGATTCAATGACATCAGCCGCCCATGGTGGCAACCGGGCTTGCTTGGACAGGGAGCGCCTGTGTGTGATATTCAAAAAGTCATGGTGGCGTGTCTTAGGAGATGGTTGGCTGGACGCCCGTGGAGACTAGTTGCAGCGCCGGCTCGGTCTGGAGCGAGTGGTTTGTAGGTTAAAAGTCTTTGTCTGGCTGGGCCGCTGCCGTAGTTCAACAACCGGACCCTTGAATCCTGGATATGGATAAATGTGATCCGTCACCGCCAAACCTTTTTTTTTTTTTTTTTTTG